AAAAAAAAAAAAAAAAAAAAAGAAAAAAAAAATTGAATTAAAAATTTTTTCTTTAAAAATACAAATGAAAGCGGTCAGATAACTTCCAGACAATATTACCCTCCTCCTCCTCCTCCTCCTCCTCCTCCTCCTCCTCCCCATAGTAAACCCAACCAACCAACGAAGAAAAAAAAATAGGAAGACCACTCAGCATTGACTTTTGGACTGCAGCAACACAGCCAGTTAGTTGCCTCAGAAATTTAATTGCTTACAACGGATTTGATATATCGCTTGCCCTTCCATACTTCTTATTCTTCTTCTCCGTCTTTTCACCCGTTTTGTTCGTCGTTTTCGTCTTCTTCTCCAGTCTCCTCTTAATTTTTCCATCTTTCACATCCAACAATGCTGCTACTGCTTCTACTGCTGCTACTGCTGCTGCTGCTGCTTTTGTTGCTGCTTTTGAGACCCTTTTTTTCCATTGTTAGGGACAACTTCCGAAAGCGATAGCAGCAAATTTTGTGAAAAATTTCTTCTTCTTCACCAACAACTTGACATCCATTACGCGATCATCCCTAACAATGATTTTTGAATGTTCGATCAACACAATGTCTTTTCTGACGCCCGCTAAGCTAACTTTTCTTTTTTTCTTTTTTCTTTTTTTTTTTTTTTTCCAAAATGTGAAACAATTTTTCCAAAAAGAAAGACAAGCTTTTTTGTTTTTCATTTCATCAGTTTTCTTATTCTGTTTTTCACTAAAATTTTTCTTTGCCTACGTTTTATTTTCCTTCTTCTTTTACGACGACATTTCAAATAATCCATATACAGCTAACATTGAGTAAATGCTCAAAATTGTTGTTGTTGTTGTTGTGGCCATCGTTGTTATTGTTGTTGTTGTTGTTGTTGTTGTTCTCGTTGTTGTTGTTGGTGGTGGTGCTGCTGTCCTTGTTGAACCTTAGAATCCTCCCATAAGCCTAGTGCAAAGCAGATCTACCAGTCAGAGTGATAAGCTGCAAGCAAAAGAAATGAAATTTATACAACTGTTGCAACAATTTTAGAAAACTTCATTACCGGCTTTTGCATCAGAAATCTAAACGTTCTACAGTGTTTACCCAATGAAACAGTGATACTTTTGTTTAAACACAGCAAACGCTTTCCTGGAAAGAAAAAAAAAACAAAAGCAGTGGTTATTGATTGCTAAAATGAAGATTAATTTATAGATCCTTCAAATTTTGCCATTTGGTAAAAATTACACACACACACACACACAGTAAAAAATCACTATCGTAGAAATAGTATTTCAAAAAGTTGTTTCTGAAAAATTTTTGCCTGACAGGCTTAAATTTGAGCAGTAATTTGAACAGTTGATGATCATCGTCCAACCCGTACCTGGTAAGTAAGCCAAGTATAAGCTTAGATAAAGTTGAAACAGTTTTATGCAATAATGTTTAAGACCACTTAAGTTGCACTGTAAGAACAAAGTGTTTCATTACTATATTCTTCATTCTCAATTTTTAGTTTCAACAACTGTTACACTGCCGCAGCTTATATATGAGCAAGATCAACCAAATCTTGGCTTTTTTTTTTTCTAATGGCCAATCCAGGTCTTTCAATATGATATGCAAAAAAGAGTTTTTCCACTTCAAAATGCCCATTTATGAAATCAAACTGCATTTGTGGTTCAGAAAAGCATTGTTTTTGTTGCATAAACACATAAATTCCCATTTTTTTTTTTTTATGGATCAAGTAAGAACAAAAAATAAAAATAAAAATAAAATTATAATAAAATAAAATATTTTTCCATCACTGGTTACGTATTTACTGCCATTTAAAAGTACATTGAATCTAATGTAAATATTCAGCAAAAAATATCATCAAAAATTTGTTTACCAAACAAATAATATCCAACTAATTTCTATACCTTATACGTTCCCCAAACACAACATCCATAATAAATTAGACCTCTGATAATTCCGATCAGCAAAAAGTAGTTGTAGCTTAATTTCTTGCAGTAATTTTCTCAATTCTAAATTCTTCTACTCGTTTTAGAAAGTACCATTTTTTAAGTACGTATGTTTTTTCTTTTTTCTTTCCAAAATTCTGCACTACAAAAAGTTTCAGTCATAATAAATGAAAGTGCTAAGTGGAACTTATGAAGTGCCTAATTGGCCAGTTTTTGCACAGCTATTTATATATCAATATGATGACCAAACTGTATCCGTCTGATATGTGGTGAATTATTCAATTTTATGCAAGCTGTTTTTTTCCTGCACAAAATTTTTATAGAGCTTATTTTTTCTTTTTTTTTTTTGCTTTTCAGCATTTTTTTTTCATTTCTTATTTTTTGAAATTTGATAAAATGTTGTTGAAAACGGCGTAGACCAAAATTTTAAGATCCTTTGTAATGGGCCGCAACCATTTAGCCTCTTTCCTGTACTTTACCACTAATCGAAGCATTTCTTCTGCCAAATTTGTTGCTCAACCATCAATTTTCAAAGCCTTTTTTTTACGCAAAGAAAATCTGCATGAATTTTATTTAGAAAAAAAAAAAGGAAGAAACGGAAGGGAGAAAATCCCAAAAAAAAGAAGCATTTTTACATGAACTTTAAATCAACAAAGTAAGAATTGTATTCGAACAAAAATCTGTACTTCCTTTATTGCTTATTTGTAACTTTACTCAAAGCCTTCCTGCTTTGCAGTTTTGTTATTTGCTCACAAACAACCAATTTATTTGTTGCAAGAAATTTTTCAAAAAAAATTTTTTTTTTTTACCTCAGTCTTGAAAGCTTAAAAAATTTTGCAAGATAGATTTACTGACTAAGAACTATTAAACCATCGACTGCGCACAAATGTTTCGTCAGTTTTCAAAATGATCAGGCAGTCTATACATAACTGTATCAACATAACCTCTAAGCAGTGAAAAGTTGTGTTTTTCCAGGGTCAACTTTTCAAGTATAAAATATTTCAAATTTTCTCTACTTTAAACGTATTGATACTGCTAGAGATACTCAATATTTATCTTCAGCAAATGAATCAGAACAAAATGAGAACAGCGAATTAATAAAGTTTCCCCATACAGAGCTGTTCAAAGCAGCAGAACCGCATATGAAGAAATACTGATCAGAAGGAACTGTCAATTTTCAAGTAAAATATAACCACCGGAATTAACAGAAGCCACAGCAGGTCAAAATATCTTAACACAGTTATAGTCTACTAGTAGGTTTCTAGTATAATTTGAACTACGTCATGTCAGCTGAGTGACTGAAACTCCTAAAAACCAGAGTATTTGCAAACATGATTGCTAAGGCATAGGAATAATAAGAACTGCCTCTTAATTCCTTTCTATGTACCTGTTTTTCCGATCTTCATTTCAATCTCATTCAATTATAAGATGATAAGTATATGACTGAAAGAAAGGATAAAAAAGTGTTATTCTGTTCAAAATCAACGAAATCAATTGCAATAAATGTAACTAGTACCCTCAGGACTGTGACAGTAGAGAAATTGTTTCAGAATTTTCCAAGAACGGCGCCCTTTGAATCCCATATTCAACTAATTGTAAAATATTTCTTTTGCTAAACATTTGCACCGTCTTATTTGCAAATTAAAGAAGATAAATTTAAAAAATACATTTTGTAACGCCAAAGAATTCACCTTAATACTGGCAAAACATAATTTCTTATAACTTTCAAGACAGCGTTTGAAATCCGTGTCTGTATGGTGCGAGTGGCCGACAACCCAACAGTTATAGAAATCAGAAGAGTGACTGATCTCGTAACACCACACATTTTTTTAACCGACAAGACGACTAATAAACCCACGGGGCCCCCTGGTCCTTGCAAACTGCTTCACTTCCCACAAAAAAAACGCCATTTCTTACTACACTTTACAATATCAACCAGGACGGTTTCTTCCAACGACATCCAGAGAAATGCTTCTAGTAAATAAACTGCTTTTGCTAAGTCCCTGTAAGTTTGCAGAAGCGAAGTTTGTATAACCTCCTAATGCTTTTTACCTGTCCCGAATGCTAAATCAACTTGCATCAAAAATGACTTTCTACCCCATTTAAAACACCTGCATTAGTTATTTGTCCCCAGTGGTGGCGCAGCCCTTACTTTACGTTCGTTAAAAGGTTCCTCCAACCTCCTCGTTAAAAAATAGAATAAAATAATGAACTTGCCAGCCCAACTCCTAAAGGGTAGATATTTATTCTCTAAGTGCCCAAAGCATTCATTGCACTTCTTCCTATCTAGAATAAAATTTCTTTTCGAATTTGCCTCTTTGACTTGACATCAAAGCGCCAAAAAAGGAATGATAACTTCCACTCACTCATAAGCAACTCCCAATAGATTGCTCAAAACTAGAACTTTGACAATAAACTAAGCTGGGCAAGCCTCACCCTGTTATCTTACATGCAGTACTTAAACATCTGTTCATCTCAAACACGATTTTTGTGAAATACATGCAAAATCTTTGCAGTCAACTTCACAAAATTATCTAAAAAATAGAAACTGCTCTTTTTCCCCGACAACAATTTTATTCCATCTTGAAGCAGTATTATGAAAAAAGCCAACAGAAATTTTAATGTGCTGATAATCGCAAATTCAAATTAAGCCCAAGCGTCCTCTAGGTAATGATCTTCTTTAACCAACGTTTCCATAAACTGCCTGGCTTCCTCTTCAGTCTTCCCTAAAAGTGAGCCCAAAATGTTATTTAATAAATTAAACGTCCTGTAAAAGTTACACATATAACAATATATCTGGCCACACAGTAGTTTTTTATTGTTTGGGCTGCAGATAATAATTTCATCTAACACTAAAATGAACCTGTATGCTCATGAATTATTCGAATAAAAGTGGAAAAGACGTCTTTTGCCATTCCCTTTGCATCGCCACAAACATAAATACGTGCTGGTTGTTCACTGCTTGTGGTCGAACCACTTATCATATCGGCAATCTAATCAAAAATCATCCGTTACAAACAATAACTGATCGTTTCATAAAATAACCTCCTATCCATCTCGACTTTATCCTGCGACACCAGTAATAATGCCATTTACAATAATGCCAATACAATACCTGTTTTCCTCGAAGTAAAAGGGCATCTTGAACGTATCTTGGTGTAGCATTACTACCTTCATCTCGTGGTTGAGACTCACAAAGATCAAGATGGGTTAGAACGCCCACTTTTTCAAAGAACTCCATCTCCCTCCTAAAATCGGCAGAAAGTCGAAACTAGAAAGTTTAGAAACACTGCTTGAAAACAAGAAAACGGAAGAGAATTAGTTTGAAATAAAGACCAAATGCAACTCGCACGAAACCTCCAAGTTTGCAAAACTATACCTACAAATGCAGTCAACGTCGAAACGCCTACAACCGAAATACAATTCCCGAGTTACATCTTCTTTAGTATCATCAGACTTCTGATTGCTAAAAAACCAAAAAAACATTTGGATAAAAGCTACAGTTGGAGGAAAAATAGACTCTTAGACAACTTTCAGGGAACCAAGAATCAAAAAAATTAATAACAAAGAGCAATGAAAGCAGTACTTGAGAAGAGCACAAACTTACTAAATATGTTCAAGAAAACAGAGAAAAGGAGCGATCCCTGTACCAGGACCAATCATAATTAGAGGAATTTTTCGTATATCTACATTTTTGACTGAAGGAGGTGGCAGGCGGAATCTTGCTGGTTCTTTCAATAAAACCTAGAAGAAAACAAAATTCTTTTACTACAAACCTTCAGCATCCTTCAGGTTGGGAGAGAAACAAAATAGCTCGGAAAAGTCAATGGCAACAACTGGCAACTCCATCTGACTGCTAAAGGTTAGGAAAATAAGAGGATGTGTAGCCATCCAATCAGTCTGCATACTTTGACATTGTCACCAATCTTCAACGTCGACAACCATCCAGAACAAAGGCCGTAACGATGATATTGACGCCCTTCACTTACTTGAAACGGCATTAATGAGTAAATAAACCGCAATCTCGACCCCCATGAGGCCTTTGTAGAACAAATGGTATAAGGTCGCGGTTGAAGTCTGGGTAGTAATTCTAAAATTTTAATAAAAACTTATATATTTTGATTATGTCCATTATATTTGGTAATCTATCGCTTAATAAAATAACAGCACGTTCCAACGCGGCCTAGGAAGTGAGAAATCCATAAGATTTGTTTTGATTTTATGCATAGTTAACTGTCACCTATAAGACGATCCGCAGAAGGCCGACACGATGGAAAGGCAAAGAGAAGGTCAGCCAGCGATATACCAGCCTAAACAACCGAATTGAAACAGAAAGCTCTTACAATTGTTCTTAGATAAAATTTTCTTGTTTTCAAAAGCCAGCAATGGCATTACGGATACTGAAATACATCAATTAGTGGCTAAATAAACCTGTCGAACATAAGTGGTAAAATCACTTGTACCCTGAGCGCTGCAAAGTTCTAAAAGCCTCCTTTTTTCACCAGCATCCTTTGCTGTTTCTGCGAGACAACGCAAAAGTGGCTAAAATATGATACTTCATGAGAAGTGTTTAGCAGTTTATAGACAGAGACGTAAGTTTTCAAAACCATTTCCGGTTAAAATATTGCGCATATATTTAAAATATATTTTATATATTTTATATTTTTTTCTGTGTATATTTTCGCATATATTTTCTGTGGCTAATAGCCATCAAAAAAACCATATCCTTAGCAAACATTTCAACTTGCAACAGTGTACCCTGCTCGGCGATCGTCTTATATCCAAACAATACGTAAATATTTCACGCAAAGAACTGATTTCCGGAATATAACCTGGTAAAGCTGCATCCTTCTTTTCAGTGCGCGGATGAACACGAATCAAGCATTTCTGATTGGCAACAGTTAAAAGGTTCATTCTAAAGAGTCCACAAACTGACAATAACATTGATCATCAATTATTTCGCATAATTACAGAATAAATGCATAACAGTAAGAACAGAAAAAAGCCCAAGTTGACTTCAAACCTTTCTAAAATCAAGTTCACTTCTTCTCTAGGATTTGGAACTATAAAATATAGTGCATCTCCAGGCTCAAAATTGATTTTTTCCACTAAATCCCCAACATCAATATGGATTTCACGCTTCATCTTTGCGGCTCCAGGTTTTGTCAACTCTATAGTGCCAACAACTCTCGCAATGAAGACTTCCTGAATTGCTCCAGGAAAACGAAATCCGTTTTGCCACAGTGCCGTACCTGAATCCTAAAAGTATGAAATGATTTCCTACAAGTAGCATTTTTTATTTGCCAACGGGGGTTTTAGGCGCATAACAGCGCCGCTTTCTTGCTGGATTATGATGGCAAAATAAATATCAAACAAACATAGTATCTAGTCATAAACAAAGAAGAAGAAATTTGGATTTATATTATGTTTCGCTGTAGCAAAATAAAAGTTTCAAAAGTTCATGTGATTCTTGAGAAAATAGTGAAAATTGAAACGGTCCCTATCTCACATAATTTTATTCAGAATCTCTAAACAGCTTAAATCCAGAAGAGCTGTTCCTTGAAGTAGTATAAGAACAAAGGCTATAGCTAAACTAACAAATACATCGAGTCTGCTGATTAAAAGCGCACGGCTGTGACTAATAGCCATCAAAATGAGAAAATAAACCGAATTCAAAAAATGTTGGTCTTAAAAAAAAATCTGTTTCTTGAATAAAATCTCGTACAAATTTCTCATGAGTAACACTTGAGGCCAAATAGGTCATTTGAGGGACTGGGACTTGAAGTTCCGCGCTGGTAAGACTCTCAGTCCCTTTGACTAAAGACGGAGATCCAGTAGGCCATACGGTTTTAGTCGGCTTCAGCACCACCTCCTCCAGCTCCGCTTCTTCTTCGTCCTCCTCCTCCTCGTAGCTCATATCTTCGGGTTCCTCCATCTAAAGAAGACAACCTGGCTAGGGTAATGAAGAAAAAAAAAAAAGAATTTGAAAGTACTTATCATCACCGAAAACCTCACTTTTTTACCCAACTCAGTTGTGGAAATTTTTAGCCGCTCAAGTGTCCGAGATTTATCTTCCGATGCCTGTATAGAAGTAGTGATAAGTTCTTTTATTTCTTTAGAGGGTAACTGAAACCAATCACCAATCCTCAGAATCGCCTTGTCTAACCACGGCTCAACAACAACTTCCAAGCTTAACTATAATTTAACGTTACATTGAGCACAGAACAAAAAGAAAAAAAAAATCCTGATTGGATACTGACCCAACTTGATCGTCAGCAAATCCAGTTTCTACCAGCTTCTTCGCTCCTAAACGTAACAAGCACTTTTCTATTTTACGCGGTACGCCTTGAAAACTAGTATAATTCGAATCACCCAAACCTGCAAAATTTCAACTTTTGAAAATGAAAACCTCAAATTTCGTTCAGAAAAAAACCTCACTCAATCAGAAAAACAGGGAAAAAACACAGGTAACTGCAGAAGCTTTGAAATGAGCAGAAAGGTAACTGGCAGAGAAGAACAAGAATCCCCTTGAAAATAACACTGCCGCACTGTAGAAAAAAAAAAAGTGAAAGTGCAAGAGTAAGCAAGTTTTATATTTAACCCCGAAATGTAATGCAAATTTATAAATCTGGCGCAGTAGAGGTTTTGCACTTTTATGAAACCAGCGAAAAGCGTTAACAAACCGGTTATGAGCCAAATACACCTAAGTTATCCAGTTAGCGTAATGGGGCACTGTACACTGTATTTTACTGCTAGAACCAAAAACATGTATAATCGCGCTCTGCAAAATAACTGGGGAGTAAAATCTTACTTACTTTACCAAACCAGACGATACCGAGAAATTAAATCTAATGCGCTAGCCAATAATTTCGATTTAGCACATATTGGAAAATAGGAAGAAGGCACACATAGCCGTCCGTCTGGCCGAGTGGTCTAAGGCGCTGCGTTCAGGTCGCAGTCTACTTCGGTAGGCGCAGGTTCGAATCCTGCGGCGGACAAAACTTTTGCTTACACCTGCACACTAACATTTGATACGTTCCTACGTATCCCTCTACCCTTCACACAAACCAAAAACCACAGTTTTAAAGTTATTCTCTCACACTGACAAATCCAAAAACCGCACCTCTTGCCAGCCCTCAAGAATAGGGATGACGAAGGCTTCCAATGAAATCTGTATACTGCACACTTGCCAAAGGTATCAATAATCTGAATGATAGTTTTGACTTTCATGCCACTAAATGGCTGCTGTCTTGGAGAAGCCTCAGCCAGATGAAAATGTTGTCTAAATCTTTATTGAGATCCAACTGTATAATCTGACTGTAAATATTTTGGTCGCTAAGTTAAAAGTTCCCCATTAAACTCTTTAGCGTAAGGTGGCTCACACAGTTTAAAGTGCTTCAGATAAAAAACAGAAAATGACACTAGTCACACTGCTTTTTGTGCCTGAATGACCTCACAATAAACATGGCAATTTCTAACATATTTTTCTAAATGAACATTAAGTGAAAAAAAAAGATAAAGATAAGTTTACCTAGCAAAAAAAATATAGAACTTTTTAACCTAATAACATGAAAGAGGTTGATTGCAACAAATCTTCTGGCTGGTTCCGACGAGAGATCCATCTCATAAACCGTACTGCGTTATCTGGAGGATCACCACTACCAGTGGAGGAGCAGATGACGATGACCAACGGCTCTTGCTCAATGCGGAACTTAAAAACATCATTATAAATAAATGCTCCGCGGCTTAAATTCTTGACATAGCTTTGTTGTTCTGCAACTGTGAAAAGTCTGGTTTCGCCTTGATTCCGCCTTAGATGTTATAACAAAATAAAAAGTATGCCTTTTCTTCAAACTCGTCAAGTTCGAACAACGCAGTTTCCAGTCCTAGCCGTCGACATCTTTCGGCAAGAATTTCAGCAACCGCTTTAGACTGCCCAGTTTGAGAACCGTACAATATTAGGCAACGTCCACGACAAGCCTGCATTGTGATTTACGGTTACTCTTCCACTGAAGCTACTAATTACCCACTCTTCCACAGGCTTGTCAGAAATCTAAAAACAACGAACTTCCATTGATGTTAAAAACTGGATATTTTGACCAAAACGTAGACTTTTAGTCCGTTGGCATGACGAGTTAAAAGTACTTATTTGGGCAAAGGGTCAGTCACGACGCATACGAAAGAAGTAACAAGGAAATTTGTTGCGTTCCTCGCAAAACGCATAAAAACAGTAATGTGCACTGCGACTGATATATTTTAGGCCTTCTCAACGTATTGAACTAAAGTGACCGTGCAGGTGCAATGCTCTGTTTTTGCCTGTTCACTTATTTTTATTTGTAAAACTAGTACCCAATGCAACTCCCCACTTGTGATATATACAGTGGTAGATATAAAAGTAAGGAAAAAAATTTTTTTTCAAAATGCATTATTCGAGTCAAAACGACTTTTCCCAGACAGTTTAAAGCAATGGTTTTTCCCTCGTTATAAAGAGCATTTTTAGTAATTGTGACTTATACAAGGGAAGCACAAAATTTTTTCACATATGGCATTTTTGGAGTTAACCGAATGGTTTAAGAAATTGCGCGGCGATTTGAAAAACTTGAAGGAGAATAAAAGAGGCACAAAAAAGAAGCTGAGGCTCAGAGCATAAAGTAATATGATGAAAACTTTTTCTTCACTCAATTCCACTTTTCAGGAACTTTATTCTCATTTCTTCCGGTGTTCATGAATCACGTAAACATATTATAGTTATTCAGAAGCTGGAAATGGTAAAGTTTACTGTAAAATAAAAGACAGTTTTTATTTAGGCTGCTGCTAGTAATCTGAATTGAACTAAATCTGGAAAGAATTTGGATAGGAAAATTTCTAAACAGAAGTCTACAGCGGGAGATGGCAGAGTAGTGCACTGGCATTTACAAGTAAGTCATACAAAGTTTTTCATGTTTTGACTTTTCTGTTTTACCTGTCATTTTGTTGCAGTCTCATTTATACAGTCCGTTTCGTGTACTTTAGTCTTTAAAACACTTAAAGCAATTTGGCCTTCTTCTACGTGGTTTGTTAAACGGGTAAAAATATTTTGAAGGTAGAGTTAATAGTAATAGGACGATTTTCATCTTCTTAGAATTGACTTGTCTGAACTGCTGGATATGAGTTGCAAGTTGTTTTTGTACCTGCTACACTGTAATAAAAACCCGACTTAAGAATGCAACAAAATTCGCCCTGAAAACCAGAAGTGATCAAATTTTAATGTATCTTTGTTTGATTGAGAGACTTTTTATCTTCCGAGAACAGTTCATTTATTCAATAAACAAAAAAGTTGTATGATATATCAAAAATAGAAGTTTTGAAATTTACTGCAAAAAAGAAAAGTACTTTGATATGCTTTATTCTCTG